TAATATTATAACATTATTTTATTCCAATTTAAATGGTATTTTATAATCATATACAGGGACAGACGCATAATTTATATTAGGGAGCGAACTTCAACTTATAAAATTTAAGGGGGAGAGTAAAAATTTTGGGGTGAAAACATATTTGTAATAGAAAATACATAGAAAAATCTAAAATATATGGTAATTTTATATTTTTAGGGGCGGCCGCCCCGCCTAGGTCCATCATTGATCATATACAATACATATATATTTTTTTATGTTTTTTCATATTTGATTTACATAGATCATACAAATTCGATGAACTCAACTCTAACTTGAAAATCAATATACGAATTACTAAAAATTTCGAATTATTCGAGTTATACTTTATAATTCGATTTGAACTTGCATTTTTTTCGAGTCAAGCCGAAAAAATTCGATTTTTCGAATTCGAGTCGAGTTTTACTTACCCCTAAATAAAATTTTCAGAACTTAATATTAATATAAATATGTTATATTAATTTATATTTTTTAAATTGAAATGTATGATTTTTTATATTTAGTTATTAAAATAAATAATTTTTCAAAGCATATTAAATTAAATTGTTTTTATTTTTTAAAATAGATTCCACCAACTTAAATTTTAAATTTAATATATTATTATAATTGATATATTAAATAATATCTAAATAATAATTGAATGTACTATTATTATAATTAATATATATATATGTCAATTTGTTTAATGTGTGTATATATATTTAATTCTTTATTCAAATTTTTATTTAATATTTTACTTTTTTTATATGTGAAATTTGAAAATTAAAAGAATTATTATTTAATATATTAATCAAAACGTAAAAATATATTTATCAAATGATCAAATTATCTGATTAAACACGAAACACCACTCGATATTTAAGATAATTTAAATAAAAATATTAGATAAAAAGAGTGGACATGAAATAGAAATAGCCCAATTAGAGAGAAAAATGGCTGAAATTGGACTCCAACATTGAGGCCTAAGATTGGCTAGACCTATTTTTCAATTATGTGTTATTATATATATATATATATATATCATATAAAATTAAATATGCGATATTATAATGTAAATACTAAAGAATATTATCACATAATAAAAATAAATGTATATAAAAGAACTATATTTAAAAAAAATAATGTAGACACCCGATTTTATTCGGGTCAACTTTTTTATTATTTTTATTATTATTTTATTTAGTATTATATTATATATTATAATAAATAATTAATAATATTTTTATTTCATTTCATTTTACAAGCTACAATGATGAAGCCCAATGTTATAAGGCTTAACTACAAGTGGGCCAAGATCCATCTGGAAGCCCAAACATAAAAAGTCATCGGGCCCAAATTACAGCCTAGTTTACTAACCTTAGGGTTTCCTATCATCACACCCGCCGTCATGTTCCTGAGCCATTAGATCTACCTTTGATCCAACGGTCGAAGTCGATTAGGGTTTGCCCACTCGCCCGCTGCCGCCTGACACCACCAACTATCACGTCGTCAGTCAAAAAAGAGCCAAAAATTTAGTAAGAAAAATTCATAATTTTTTTACTCATATACAAACAAAATATCAAATCTAAGGAGTAATCAGTCACACGGAAATGTCTAACGAAAGGCAGATTAATATAAAGATAAGAAACAGTTTGATCGAAAATTTAATAAGATTATTAACAAATTTGATAAAGCGTTATTGAAAATGTTGACAGACTTATAATGTTATAAGTGAAAAACATGAAAAACAATTAAAAAATTTAGTAATCGATAAACTTTGGTTATCAGTAGACATCGATATATATATATAAATATCCATACTTACTTCACTATATAAAACATTAATTTAAAATTACATTTTGAGTGGGTTTTAAGATATTAATTTAGTAATTATAAGTGTTTAATGACTTATTTTTATGTTATGGTGTATATTATTATTAAATTAAAAATAATAAACATAGAGATTACATATTTATTATTATCTTTAGTTAAAATTGTTAAATTTAAAATCTAAATAATCAAATAATTTTTTTTTGTGTAAATGAAATTATTAAATTAATGTTGTAGGTAGAAAACATGAAGAATATATTAAAAAGTTTTGAAACATAAATTGCATAGTTTATGTATCAATACTTACTCTAAAAGTACGTATATTGTTTCGACAGTAAATTATGTTCAACTATTCTCCTGAAAAGTATTCATACCTATTATGTTAAACTGCATATCAATTTGTTTTAAGATTACTAATAATGTAAAAGATAAAATAAAATAGACGCTAACTATTACGTTTAAATATCTACTGATTTGTTTAAAGGTTACTAATAATATAAACGGTAAAATAAACACTATCTATTACGTTAAATTACCTACCGTTTGTTTAAAGGTTACTAATATTGTAAACGGTAAAATAAAATAGACGCTACATATTACGTTAAACTAGCTATCGATTTGTTTAAAGGTTAATAATAATGTAAACAGTAATATAAAACAGGCACTACCCATTACATTAAATAAACACTATATGCCAGTTTGTTTAAAGGTTAATAATAATGTAAACGGTAAAATAAAATAAACGTTACTTATTATATTAAATAAGCGATACCTATTACTTTAAATAAGTATTATCTATTACGTTAAACTAGCTATCGGTTTGTTTAAAAGTTAATAATAATATAAACGATAAAATATATACAACTTAATTAAAAAAAATTCGAAAGTATTGATACTCATAGGTTGTTGTGAGGGGTGAAATTCATAACCTTTTTCAAAAATATCGATACATCATAAATCAATTATCGATATTTTAACATTCATCAATTTTTTAAAATGTTAAAGTATTGATAACAGTCATAAAAAATCTAAAATTCTAAAATATCGATATTAGGTATTAATAAATTTTTTGAATACGTATTGATACATATACACTAAGTATATAATAATTTTCATACATTTACACTAAGTATCAATATTTTACAAAGATATTTTAATGAAATTTTGTAAATAAGTCACTTTTAATCTTAACATTTCAATTTTTTCAAATTAAAATTTTTTATAAAATGATAAAATATCGAACATCACATATGATATTGATATTTGTTAAAGTATCGACCATCAGATCATAGTAGTATCGACATTTATTTTAAAAATAAATGTCATCTAAAGTTGTGTAATATATTAAATTCCACCGATATCATTCAATACAACTTTAATATTTTATATTACAACATACTTTTTTTATTCAAAATAATATTATTGAATGTAATATTGTATGTTAATATTTATTTATTACAAAATAAAAAATTAACATATTTTATTGTCGTGAGATTTCGAATGCCTTATTAACTTAAACTTTGGTAAGTGCTACTTAATATGTTGATAATGATAATAAAAAAATAAGTAATCAATATATTTTGTTATCGTCGGATTTTTAAGACCCCATCAGCTTAAACTTTGATCATATTTTAGACGCTACTTAATATGTTGATAATATTAATAACAAATTAAATAATTCACTTATTTTGTTATTGTCAGATTTCTAAGGTTCATCAGCTTTAAACAGACGTTACATATTACATTAAATAAACGCTACCTGTTATATTATTATGTTTGATAATATTTTCAGTAAATAACCGGTTATGTTAAAGTTAATATTTTTTTTTTGCATTTTATATACGACGATAATATTTTCGGTTATCATCATTATTATTACTAACACAAATAACATTTTCGGTGAAAACATATAACATTTCCGGTAACGCTTTTAACCAATTACATATTTAACCAGCCATACCATTTTTTAACGGTATTTTAATCGCCTCACATCAAAACCTCTCTCAGTCATACCGTATTTTCTCGGCAAGCACGAGAATAAAACCATCAAACAACATGCAACACCATAAAAAGGGGGAAAATAGGGGAGGACGGATTCAAAACGGAAGAAAACAAGAGAGAGGAGAAGAGATTCGGAACAAAGAAAAACAAAAAAGAGAGAGAAAATCGACCTTTTTGGTCGAAACTAAATTCAGCGGAGGAGCATTGTCCGGAATATCGAAGGTTAGCCTTCCAAACCTTTAAATCTAGGGCTAGAGGGTTGTTAGTAGACGATTAGAGACCCTTATTTAGTATGGATATTCGAAAGGTGTTGTTTTGGGTGAGTTCACTTACTAATCGACACTGTTTTTTTTTTAAAAAAATTAAACTAAAATCTAAATTTTCTAAATTAAAGTCAAAATTATTTTTAAATTAATTTATTTATTAAAAAATGATTGTGACAACTAATATATTAAAAAAATTAATCATAACTAAATTAGATATAAATTCGAACTTAATGTGATACTCATTTCAAACCGAACTCGAATGCATATAAATAATTTAAAATTGGACTCAATTTAATACTCATTTCAAACCCAACTTAAATGCATGTAAATAATTGAGGGTTAGTGTTTGATGATATTTTCTAATATGATAGCTTTGTCACATAGGTAACCGTTAAGACAAAATTTTGGTCCCGAAAAGTATTTGAACTTTAATATTAAAAATTCAAATTTAATCTAACTCAAATCATGAACACTTGTAATAAAGAGTAGTTTTCCATAGCTATCAAGGTTTCATCAAGAGGATGAAGAAGAAAGAAACAAGTTTATAGAATTTAAACCACCAATGGTTTAACTTACATGAAAAATGGGGAAAAATCAGATCTCAAGTCGGTTGTAACAGATTAGTTAAAACAGAAACATATCGGTAAAACACAAGGCTTTTAATCTTGAGGTCGTGGGATCGAGTCCCACGGAGTGCATTTCATAATTCGGAGGTTTTCTACAGAAACTGCTCTTAACCTGGTATTAGGAGCAACCTACTATCTTACCTCCCTTTACCCCATTACATATGGGACCTTACCCCCATTACATATGGGAACAAGGAAAAACCATTTTTTTTAGAAACATATTGGTAAAAGGTATAAAAATGCTGAACGAAAATAGTTAATAATCGAACATCCTTGTTCCTGTAATCGCTAAAAGGTTTAACTAATGTTACAACACAATGAACTCATCTATATAGACTATAAATTGAGATCAATGCATCTTGGTGTGTCTCTCGATAAGCGACCTTCCTCGCACGACGGCTTGTTGTCATCGGGTTTAGACGGCGGCGGCGGCAAGACTCGGTTGTTGTTCAACAGGTACGGTGTTCTTGCGGCTGCCCTGAAAACAATGAAGCATCAATCCAGTGAGATACCATTCAACAATGAAGTAAAGAGCAACAAGGTCCAATATGAACAACTTAAAATTTCTACCTGTCTTTTCTCTTTTCGAAGAACTTGTGAAGTGAGTTCCTTCTCGCGATCCGCAAATCCGAACCACCGTAATTACGTCGCTCGACCATAGGGTCTTGAGCCGGAGTATTTGCAGTTGCGGAGGCGATGTTCAAGTCGGGGATATCGATATTGATCTTTTCGACGTTAGAGCTCGATTTTTCCATGATAGAGTCAGAAGCATTAACACCGGTACATGTAGTTGAGGTTCCTTGGTTAGCTAAGGCCATGATTTCCTTCACCTTCTCCGGCGGGAAATCGTGGTATACAACCACTTGGCCATTGAAAAATATGGTCAGCTGAGCATTCTTTGTTTCCGCTGCTGCCGGTTTCCTACACCGACAAAAACAAACATTCCTATTTAATGGTGAGATTTAAATCTGAACTACAGGTGTTTAAACTCTCTGAATTAAATTTCAACATAGTTTAGGTATTTTCATTAACTATGATCTTATTTCGCCCCTTAAATTTCTAATTTAACTTCTTAACTTCGCATCCGAGACATCACCGAACAAAACACAAACACACCTGATAACTGTCCTGTTAATGTTGTCTTCCATGGAACCGGAGGCACCAAAGCTGCCTGGAAAGAAATATGCAGATTTCACGTTTGATGCCACAAGATTTGGTCTGGAAGTCCCTGAAGAATCAGCCATAGAGGACAAAAGATTCATTGTTTTTGCTTGTTTCCCTGCAAAAATAATCAAACCATGAACATATTATAAACCATCCTTCTTCCCAAATCTGAGAAATTTTCTCTCTAAAAACACCCACTTAACAAAAAGAAAACAATCCTATGACAAATCAACCAAAAAGCCAACAATTTTATCAATAGAAAAGCAAACAGAACAAAGGGTACCTTTAGCATCAGATTTTGAAGATATTCCAACGCTAAACTCCCCAATATTCCTCTTTTCTTTCAAGTACTGGCTTAGAAGATTGACAAAGCTTGCTCTGTCGGGAGATTTTTGCCCTAAATTAGACATTCTGTGCTCCCTTGTTTTCTTCTCCTGTTTGTTGTCTGAAAATACCCTCGAGTTTCTTACAAGAACTGGAATGGGGAAATGATTTGTGTGTCAAAAACTCTACTGAAACATCAAAGTTTGAGGGAGTTACATATATTTTCGCCTTTAAAGAGCTAGACAGGAAGAAATATAAGGAGGAGAAGCAAAGTTTCCACAAATGTCTCTCCCACCATGTTCTTTGAACCTGATTAGCCGCGCGTTGTCCTGATTTCTTTTTCATTTAATTTATTATTAATTTATATTTTTATTTAAAACACGTTTTTATTTCCATTGAATAATAGTAGAATAACAACAAGAAAAAGTCAAGTTGGATGCACATAGGGATTTCCTTTCAATTGCCTACCTCTCTTTTTTCCATGGTTGACCTTTAACAAATCATATATATATATATATATATATATATATATATATATCAATAAAAAATGAGAAAATATTTATCAAAAAAATAATGAATTAATTTTAATCTTTAATTTTTCTCAATCCAACAGTTATAATAAGGTAAAATGATATGAATACAACAATTCATAAAATGCAATTATTTTAATTTTAATATGTTATTAATTTAGAAATAGTTTTTTACAAAGAAAACATTCAACCTAATTAAAATGAAAATATAATAAAGTATTATATTTTTCATTAAAAATTTCACGCAAGTAATTCAATAGTTGAACTTCATAATAATAATTCATTATTTCAAGTAAAACTAATAATGCTTTATTTTTTATCAATAAAATTATAGCTATTCTTTATTTCTTGTTTAAGTGATAAATAATTTGACGTTTATTAAGTAAAATTTTTAGTTTAAGATTTGCAAATAGATAAAATCAGTATTAGTGGAGTTTTGATTCAAATTTAATGGTTATTATCCAACTTAATTCTGGATATAATTAAAATGTACGTATTTATTAGATATAAAAATTAAATTCCAAGAAAAATCTTGTATTTAATTATATGTGTATGAAATACATATAATATTTAAATTTGGTTAATTTTTTATCACATCAGATGAAAAATACACAAACAAAAATATTAAAACCAAAAAACAAATTTCTATAGAAAAAAAATAAAAACTCTAATTTAATAAATATTTATTTTATGAGAATACATTATAATAAGATTGGTTTAGTAATTCAAGGCAAGGGGGTCCGTAGAAATAGACTGACTTAGGCGCCAATTTAGAAGGTGTTAGTTAGGTGGATGCCAAGTGTCGACTGTTGGAGAGAGACACGTGGGCCCCAGGAGCCTCAATCTTTTATTCCAAATAAACGTAAACATATAATAGCAATATGTTAGCTACAATACATTTACATTGACTAGTTTAGTGCACATTATAATACACCACGTGACAAATATTAAAGGGGAAGTTACACTAACTATTATTTGGATATTTTTTATTATTAAAAAATTTAAATTATATTTTAGAGATGAGCAACAAAATAAAGGGGAAAGTCCATTTGAAAATTTATAATTATTATATATATTTTTTTATTAAATTTATGTTTTCGTCTCTTAAAATTTTATGAGTTTGTTTGCTTCTAAAATTTTCAAAGTCCGTCTCATAAGATAAAATCATGTGTTCGTCCCTGAGTATTAAAATGGCCCCTCAACTATAGAAAATTAAAAAATTGACGATCTCTTAAGTTAGACGTAAACATGCTGATCAGAATATAATAATCATATTTTAATTACATCTATTGACACCGTCGTTGCTTTCAAACACTTACTCGACAGTATAATATTTCAAATATTGGCTCAAAGATATAATATAAACAGATAATCGATCCACAAAACACAATTCAAACGATTCTGAGATTATGTTTTAGCATATTCTAGTCAACAAGTTAACGTCTAACTCAAATAGTTGCTACTTTTTTTAACAAAAAATGATGAGTTTAAAATATATGAATAAGTGCATGATCATTTCATAATTTTTAGTAATTGAATAACTCGATAAAACAATTTCTTGTAGTTAAACTATAAAGATCATTATAACTTTTTAATAGTTTGAACATCTAACAAAACAAGTCTTTATAATTGGGGTACTTTGTGTACCTTACGGTTTACCCCAAAATAAATGGGTCAAACTGAGAATGCGGGCAAAGTGTTTGAAGAAATTCTTTAGTCAAATCCGTTTTCTTTTCTAGACTTTGTCCGAGAAGGCTTTGTTGGTGGAACGATGGGGGGAAGGAAGCTATGCTCAAAAGGTTAGAAGAGGTCTTAACTCTTGACCAAGAAGAGAAGAAAGACAAAGGAACTTTAAGGGGTAAATCAGATACGAAGCATTTGTCAAAGGACCTAGATGATGTTTTAGTAATAATTTAAGATCAAATTAGATATTATGTTTTGGGTAATCTATGTAATTAGTACCTAAACTATTAGTTTTGACCTATTTTAGTACCTAAGCTTTTAATTTTTCAAAATCATACATAACGTTTAGTTTTTGTTTCATTTAGTACCATGTTGTTAAGAACTTAACTCGTTTAGTACCTACTATCAATTTTGATCAATTTTAATACCTAAACTTTCAATTTTTTAAAAAACTTAACGTTAAAAAAACTTAATGCGTTCAATTTTATTTGTAAGAGGACAAAATAACTAATTTAATTTAACAAAAACATTCAAAAAATCAAAATATGAAAAAACAATTAAAAGAATTTAAAAAAGTTTGAATTAAAAAATACCATTAAATCTAATAAATATTAATCTGGCTTGCCACATAACTTCTTCTACAAATTATTAGTCAAATTTGATTATTAATCTATTTAAGTAATCTACCAATTGTTTTTTAATAAAAAGTTAAAAAAAATTATTACAACAAATCGAACTCTCACGGGGAATCCCCATGAACTTAGCAGACACACGCCTTAACCACTCGGCCAAAGCGTAGACATTGGGAGGAACTGGAATAAAAAATATAATTATTAATTTATGAACTTGGAGTAAAAAAATGACATTATTGAAAAAAGAAACAACATTTTGCAGCATAGTCGACTCCATTAGATTCACTGTAGTTGAACGCCACCATTTCTATTACCATTCCTTAATACAGTCTATTATTCTTCATTGATGCTAAAGGAGAATCAAGTACAATGATAATATGCTCCAATTTGTTCATCAGATTCATAAAAAACGCATTTGCCAACAAAGGATCCTTCCCAAATTTATTTCTGGAAATCAAATGCTAGCTTGCAGTCCCTTAAGCCACCTAACAGCAATGGGGCTCCTCACCAGATGAACTTCGTTGCTCCACTCGATCGATCCGAATGCTTGTGATGCAATGCCAGACAAGTACAAACCGTTACTTGCAAACACAATCTCGTAGCTCAGCGTCTGGTTTACAGCACTGAATTCGAGCTTACTTGGCGAAACACTGATTTCGACACCGGGTGGAGCATTCACTTTAGCTACATAAACTGCATCAGGTGAGGTCCCAACATTCTTTACCCTCCTCTGGTACTTGACAACATGATCACTAGAATGGAAAACCACCGAGAATGATGGATAATTAAGATCCCCTGGTGTACCAAATTTGCTCTCACATACATCTGAACTAGTAGGCTCCCTTAGAAAAACTGCAATACTACTCGAATCATACCCGATCGAGCAAAGGAACGAAATGTAGTCGCTGTTCTCAATATCGTACACCAATCCTGGATTAAGAGCTCTATTGGGATCCACATGACCGGCTCCATAAACAAAGGGTGATGCTTCTTCCCCTGTAGCAAGATCGCTAATGGTGTTTCCCGAGTTATCTAAAGTGTAAGCTGTTGTCATCAGGGCAGATTTTATGGCAGCAGGTGACCAATTGGGGTATGCTTTCTTAAGCAGAGCAGCCAATCCACTAACATGAGGGCAAGCCATTGAAGTGCCTGAAATAATATTGTAATCAACTCTTCTCGGATCGATATCCAAATCGGTCGGCGCAGAGGCACCAGTCCATCCTGCTAAGATGTTAACACCAGGGGCGACGACATCCGGTTTGAGAATTTCTGGTGTCAAATGGTGAGGACCGCGGCTCGAAAAGGCGGCAACCTTCGGAGATGGTGGGGAAGGGCTAATCACTGTTCCGCGGAATGAAATCGTAGCTGTCGGAGACTGACTTGTTTTAATGTATTCCAGGATCTTACTACCAGCTGCTTCACCCACCATTGTTGCCGGGATAAGATGAGCATCCGAAAGGAGTTCTTCGCCGTTCTCAGCAGTGTTTGCCAGTATCATCCCTGAACCACCGGCTAGCTTCACTGCAGCTCCTTTTTCAACTCTAGCATTCCCTCCCCTTTCACAAACAACAAATTTTCCTTCAACTTCCGATGAATTTAGACTTCCCATATGGCAAAACCTGTCCCCACAATCAGCAGCATAAACCAAAGGAAGCTTGGAATCATCAACTAAGGATTCACCGGAATACAATGAAACACCACCGAAAATCCTACCGTCACCGAGAATCGCATCAGCCAGAAACTCCCTGTCAATCGTGGAAGCACCGACTGTTAAAATCCATGGCGCAATGTTAGTGGCGGTGAATGAACCAGGACCAGAATTCCCAGCAGAGCATGACACAACGACACCATGGTTAACAGCGGCAAGTGAACCAATAGCAATGGAATCAATATCGTATCGTGGAGCATAACCTGTAACTCCCACAGACAAGGATATCACATCGACTCCATCGGCGATAGCCTGGTCAAAGATGCAAGTATATCGGAATCAAAACAACCAGATTTCCAGCAAACCTTGTAAGCAGCAATCCTGGCATTCGCCGCCATCCCCCGAGCGTCTCCTCTTGCAAACCCGAAAAGGCTGGCGTTTGAAACAACAGATCCGGCAGCAGTGGAAGCCGTATGCGTGCCATGTCCTGCAGTATCCCGTGGAGACTTCGATTCTTTAGTTTCATCAATCGGTCCATCATGAACCTCGTAGCCTTTGTAAAAGGCTCTAGCACCGATTATTTTCCGATTACAAGCCGAAGCAGGAAAGTCAGATCCGGTCTCACATATACCCTTCCAGCTATCCGGAACAGGAGGCATTTGAGTCAATAAAACTGGGATTTTCCGGCCATATTCCGGTATCCAAACTCCGATTATGATACCATCCCCGTAATCGGAGTTTTCCCAGATACCTAAACCATCGGAAAGGCCTAAAAAGTGAGGTGTCCGAGTAGTGTGGAGGTATCGGATTTGATCCGGAATCACAGAAATGATTCCAGGAA